AATCCAGAATTTTATATATTGTAATACTTTCATCCTTCCTTTGTAAGTGACTTTTAATTTGCGACCATGGCCAGTCATACAATAATTCATAAAACGTTTAATTTGATCATGTCTGAATAAAAGTGTTTGATCCATGTATGTGTTATTAGGTTGAATTATCAAATTATTACTTACATTTTGAGTTTAATTAAGGTTTATTTTGCGGTTCTATCTTTAATAGATTATCAGACCAGTATTCTATCTGAATTTACCATCTGATATATCCATACATGCTGTGTATAGAATGGAATATTCGAATTTACTTGTTTGGATAATTTAAATTTTAAAATAACCAAAAAATTATCATTAAAATTTGAAAATAATCCAGAATTCTTTTATATATGTAATATGTTCCCCCTACTTTTAATGGCTTCCTTTGTGAATACAAATGATATTAATTTGCGACCATTGCCGGTCATCAGCTATTACTTTTTGACGATTTTCATTTCTCTAAAAAGAATATTCAAACTTGCTTCAAAAGGTTTTTTAACTACGCAAGAACATAATAATATAGATTAAAAGACCATCACGTCGACGAAAAAAAGTTGTACAAGACCCTCCATTAGAAAAAAAAACACAGAACAAAAAACACACAAATAACAAAACGAATCAAGAAAGATTGTTGTGCTATAACGATGATGATGATGGGAGATACATTTGGAAGTATAGGATCAAGCATGGCAAGTTTGTTCTTTATTTGGGCAACTATTCAACAAATCTTCCCTAACCACTTGAAGATTGCAATCAAAGAGTTTCTTTTGTCTTCTTTCCAACAACTCTGTTTTGCTCAAAGAGTTTCTGATCATTTCACCAACTTGTTCTCTCCTTATGTTGAGATCAATTTCCCCGAAAGCGATGAATACCGTTTCAACCACGCTTTCTCAGCCATCGAGACCTACCTTGGTTCAAAAGCAACCGAAAAAGCCAAACATCTCAAAGGAAGTCAGCTCAAGGAAAGTAAAGGTTTGGTCTTAAAACGAGACGAGGCTAAAGTTAGAGACGAATACAAAGAAGCTCATGTTTGGTGGGAGATTGTGACTAGTACTAATGGAGAAATATCTTACAAGCTTACTTTTCACAACCGCCAACGGAGTGTTATAACCGGTTCATATGTACAACATGTGGTTGAAGAAGGGAAATCGATTGATGCCAAGAACAAGAAGACGAAGCTGTTCACGAATAACCCGAGTTCTCAATGGGTTTTTAGTCAGAATATGTGGAGGTCTATAGAATTTGAGCACCCCGCGAGTTTTGAGACACTAGCCATGGATCCAGAGAAGAAAGAAGAGATCTTGAATGACCTAGTAGCCTTTAGCAATGGGAAGGAGTACTACAAGAAGATCGGGAAAGCTTGGAAGAGAGGCTACTTGTTGTATGGACCACCGGGAACCGGTAAGTCCACCATGATTTCAGCTATGGCTAATCATCTAAACTATAACATCTATGATCTCGAACTCACGGCTATAAAGAACAACTCCGAGTTGAGGAAGTTGCTTACAGCAACATCCAACAAGTCCATTATTGTGATTGAAGACATTGATTGCTCCGCAGATCTCACCGCTAACAGAATCAAGAAAGAAAGCAAATCGACTAACGAACAAGACAAAGACGAAAACGCGGTTACACTCTCAGGGCTTTTAAACTTCATTGATGGTATTTGGTCTGCCTGTGGGCAAGAAAGGATTGTTGTGTTCACAACAAACCACTTGGAAAAACTCGACCCGGCTTTGATCAGGAGAGGGAGAATGGATATGCACATTGAGCTATCTTACTGCACTTACGAAGCATTCAAGATTCTTGCCAAGAATTACCTGGATCTTGATGATCATGATGAATTCAAAAAAATCAAGTCTCTGTTGAAGGAGACGAAATTTTCTCCAGCTGATGTCGCCGAGAACTTGATGGCCAAAAACCATCAAGTAGACGTTGACGGATCCTTGAACAATCTGATCAAAGCTCTGGAGAAAAGGAAGAACTATCAGAGGAGCCAACAAGGTGAAGCAAAAAAGAAAAACAACAAATTCAGAATATTTGGTTAAAGATTACTATATAGCTCAACCTTGTTCGATGAGCTATTAAGCTTACAATGCTCTTCTTTTATTAGTGATTACACTAAGTTTGGTATGTTCTAGTTTGATGTATTTGCTTTCTCAAAGAATAAAGAACATACGTTGTGAGTTTACTAGTTGAAAGTGAGAAGCTAACTTGAAATGCAGATTACAAGGTTTTGCACAAAGTGAAAGAGAAGTTAACACATGAAAATCTCAAAATTCCAATCTGATAATTCTGTGAAAATGTGAGAACTACAACAATATCTCAAGTTAAGGCAATATTGTGTGTAGCAACAAGACAAATATTTCCCACAGCCATAGCCTAATTGTTCAGTATCTTCCTTCACTTATACTCATGACTAAAAGAGGGATTACTATAAGATCCTAAATCACATCTAATCCCAATATTAAAGGCTGCTAGATTCAATCTCTGTGATGTTCTGCAATGTGATTCATTAAGACTTTACTTGCACTGTTTTGGTCGGAAATTCTCAGTAGATAGCAGCAAAGTAACCAGATTCTCAAGCCGTCTAGAGCCTGGACCAGGTCTGACAACGTCAGTATCACCAATAACAGCACAAGGGTCACTCCCATTTCCATTGCTTCCAATGCACCAACCACCAGGTGTAGTCATCCCAGGACCTCGGTTAAGAAGCTCATCATCAATCTTGTCGAGTACAGGATCTTCTCTTCTGAATTTTCGAGCAAACGGGGCATTACTATTTACCATTTTAGCCATGTCTGAAAGAGTGAGATGGTGTGGATGCTGCTTAGGCGGATTGTCCCACGATATGAAATGCAGGTCACTGTTTACCGTTGTGTTTCTGAATTCCTCAGCGTTGCAGAGAACGGTGTGGAAATATCCTTCCGGAGAAGATAGAAAATTTGAGTAGTACATTAAGACGGTACGAGGTAGATTATCCCAACCCCAAATACAATAGTCAACGAATGGCCGAGATAACGCCATCCAAGCAGAGCCTGTTTCCAAAGAATCACATGTTAATTAAGATAATCCGAAACTCAAATAATGTGAAATAAAATGGCTGGTGGATTCTGACAAAAGTCTCCCACACAATCAAGGGCAACACACAAACACCAAAGTTTTTAGTATCATGTGCAGACATTTTCTTAGCAAATGTTCTGAAATATCATGAAAGTTTTGCCTAGCAATCTTAAGCTTAATGATTCAGTGTAGTTCAACAAATGAGAAAAACCGATCAAACTAAACAGGTATGCAACATGAAGATAAACAAACAAGTCTGCGAATTGCTCAGAGATGAGAAAATTTTGCCTTAAGCAAAATGATCCAGTGTTGTTCGACGAACTAGAAATGGATCAAATCTTAGCAAATCCGATTCCAAAACTAAAGAGCTACACAACATAAAGACAATCAATCATGTCTATGACTTGCTAAGAGCTAATTACAGTCTACAAAACTGAAAAGGTTTTAGAGGGATCAATCACCTGTGAAGAGCTTAAATGCTGTTGGTATACTTCGTCTTTGCGTAACCCAAAAAACATCAGATTTCTTGTTCAAATACAGTCCAGGATCTATAATCACCGGTTTTGCTCTTTGTGATCTGAAAGAAAAACCAGAACAAAACAAATTCACAATCTGAGTTTTACCATATGAAAACAAAAAGAGGCTACAAAACTTCTCTTCTCTTACGCTTTCCATCCAATGTTACTAGTATGATCAATGAAGTTCAAATCCCGCGGCAAATGCGAAAATATATGCAACAAATCTGTTAC